GAGTGAGAGTCTTTGTAATGTGTGTTTTGGTGTCTCTATTGGAGTAAAACGTCAAAGGAACTTCAAAGGATTTGCTTGGGTAGAAGTCTCAAATAAGTACTTTGTAGTTTTGTTTTATTATGAAGACTTGGATTTTTAATATAAATTATGTTTTGTTGTGTTATCCCCATGAATTCTGAGTAGTTTCCTTTCTCTTTCTCCTTGCAATAAGAAGTAGTCATGTTTAGTGTTCGGTTGAGCTGCAATCAAAAGCAAGAGAGTTGTGCCTCGCGAGCTGTGGTCAAAAAAGGAAGGAGGTTTGGTGCTCTATCAAGAGGAGGAGAAGTAAACGCTTGAAGGAAGATGTTCACGTGCCAGTGTCGAGGGAAGGAGCCCGTGCGCGAGTGAAGCAAGTAGCTGAAGGAGAAGAAGAGGTAGAATAAGAGAAGTCGTATGTCTTCTCGTATCTAAGATTCCACGCCGAGCCTAATCGGAACTCACATGTAGAGGAAGAGGGAGATCGGGGGAATAAGAGGATTGCAGTGCTCTGTTGGGTCACACTGAGACCGAAGGGAAGAAGGGGAGCTTCGTGTGTGCTTGTAGGCTGTTGACTGAAACATAATAGGTGAGTGTAAGATTTTATGAAAGATATTTAATAAAATTATATATATTATATGATTTTGTTTATAAAAAAACATATTTAATGGAAAGTTTTATTGAAATCGGGACTGAAATAAATAGAGATTTCGGCTTGGAAGGAGCAGAAGATGGTGAAGCGTGCGAGTGAGAGATGAGATTGATCCGAGAAACTTATAAGATAAATGCTAAGCTATATTATTAATAAAACAAATGATATAAATGTTATTAATTTTTATTCAATTACAAAGTGTGAAGAAGACTGATAAATCCTTTAGATTTGAAGACAGTAATGAATCTTAAAATTTAAAAAAAAGTTAGTGTTTTAAATCATAAAATTCTTACATTTAAGTTGCTTCGATTATTAAATATAACTTATGGAAAATTATGAGTTTTAATTAGGTGTGTTGATTTAAATGTGCAAATTGTGTTAATTGAATAAGAAAAAAGAGGAATTCAAGGGAAAGAGAGAAAGTCATTTAGACAAAGTGAGTAATTATTTTCTTGTATGTATTTAATTAAGGTTTTATTAAATATTTCACTCATGTCTTGCATTTTGAAAGTTTGATTACATCTCACAAATAAGAGGAAAATAATTGATATATGAAAGTACATTTTAAAGGATTTTAGGTTGATATGAATTATAAGTAAATATTTAACTTATTCAGGATTATTCCCAGATGGTACTGAAAAAGGATGCAAGATACCCTTTTGCACGAGAAAGAAAATGAAAATTGATGAAGGTGCACCTTCCAATATAAAGTTTTTAGGGTACTCACAATTACAATTTTGAAGATATCTTTGGGTATGACTGTAATCCTTTTATGACTCTTAAAGTTGTTAAAAATGATAAATATTTAAGTTAAAATAGGAAGAGATAAATTTAAAATAAAAGCTTACGGTTTTATAAGGTAATAAATTACCTTTATTTTGGTCATTCATGCATTGACATAGTAATTTAATGCATATTAAAATTATAATTGCTCACTAACTTATGAACTTATTGTTGAAGTTAATATTTTCTTTAAGGAAAAAAAAATTGTATATTGATATGTCTGGTAGGAGAAACTTAGATTACTGGAGGTGGAGTACGACTGATAAGCATCATGTTGTGTGGTGATTGTAGTTTCTTTCATCATTTTCATTTTCTTTTGCACGAGAAAGAAAATGAAAATGATGAAGGGCACACCTTCCAATATAAATATTTTAGGGTACCCACAATTACTATTTTGAAGATATCTTTGGGTATGACTGTAATCCTTTCATGACTCTTAAAGTTGTTAAAAATGATAAATATTTAAGTTGAAATAGGAAGAGATAAATTTAAAATGAAAGCTTACGGTTTTATAAGGTAATAATTACCTTTATTTTGGTCATTCATTTAATGCATATTAAAATTATAATTGCTCACTAACTTATGAACTTATTGTTGAAGTTAATATTTTCTTTAAGGAAAAAAAATTGTATATTGATATGTCTGGTAGGAGAGACTTAGATTACTGGAGGTGGACTACGACTGATAAGCATCATGTTGTGTGGTGATTGTAGTTTCTTTTATATACTGTTTATTACTGTATAGAGATAATGTTGTGTGTGGATTGAGATATTTTGTTTGCAAACTATATTATTGTTTTTGGATGTTTTAATTTTTTGTTCATAGTACTTTGTTGTATTTTTGTGGCTCTTTTATGTATTAAAAGTTTCTAGAAATTTGTTGATATTTATTTTAATGTTAATATTGTCCCACCACAGTTCCTAGCATGGTTATTTATAAACTACCAGGCGGGGTCGTGACATGACCGATGGCTGCAGAAAAATTTCAGTGCTCTGGAGAGGCTCCAACAATTGAAATTAGATATAGGAATTGTTTCTTTGCTTTGATACCATGTAGAAATAGGTTTTGGAGAGGAATAATTCTCTTTTTTATATGATTCAAATGTATGGTACATATATAAGGAAACAATCCCTCCTTATTTACAAACTTACCAAATATATCTATCCTAAATTAGGAAAGGAAATAATTCTGAAATAAAAAATAAACTAACATAGATTATGAAGGTAATAAACTTTATTAAATAAGGTCAAATCTAATAAATTTAAAATTATATTAGAATTAATACTTCTCAAAATTTTCAATAAATAAGTGTTTGTGAAAATTTGTTGTGTGATTTTATATGATCCCACCTTCCTTACATTTTATTTCGTTAAGGATTCTCAAAAGTGGTCTTTAATTATTTTAAAATCCATTATCACCCGGTGTATCTATAATTAGCAATAAACTTATAACTGCGATAGTTATGTTTTTTGTGAATATCTTTGCACCAATTTACTCGATCAATCAAGTTATGCAAATGATATGAAACAGAAAATGAAAATGTTAATATACTAATATGCATCCGCATGGAAACAAACAATGTTCTATAACTTATATGATAAGATGACAAAGAACTTTGAAAAAAGATATACCACAATAAAATGACATGCATGTGTGGACATAATCTCATTAAAGAAGCTAATCCAAATGAGTTAAAGATCAATGGTGATGAGTCATACATTTCAAAGTCTGACCAGATTAATGAAAATTTAAATTAATATTTCAAGTCATTTCATCATTAACAAATTCATTGAAACAGTAATGCAATTTCACTATTTTACTAAGATTTTTTTTATGAATCTATCAGTCTAAAAATCAAGAGCTAAAAATAAAATCAACTTAGTTTGATTTTTAGAAATCATCATCTGTAGCAGCTTGTTCAATTAATTCATCAACAACAACAAATATGATGTGTTCGCTTTCATATTCAGGACAAGATTCTCTTCCTATTATGTGTTCAAGTTCATGTTCATGAATTTATTCAATTTTTATTAGAAATTTGAATTGGCATTCAGAATTAGAATCAAATCCAATGCTTAATTTAGGTTTAATTATGATCTTAGATTCAAATTCGGTTTCAAGTTCAATTTTTAACTAAGATTTGAAATTGATCTCGCACTCAAATTTCATTTTAGACATGAATTTTGACACTTTCTTAAGTATAGATTGATGTTAATGGTAATAGATTTCAGATTTACATCAGATTTAGACTCTCAATTTTTTTGTAAATCACATTTTGCATCAAAAGCATCCTCAAAGACTATTAATAAACCATAATTTCTTTAATAAGAACATATTCAATTATGTATAATTCTTGTGAGTAAATGCTTGGCATATGAAGAAGGCAATGATTTTTCTCGAGGATTTTAAACGCATATATGAGGAAATTTGAGAAGATTCTAGAGGAAATCTGAGAAAATTCAAAACTGAAATTTATGTTCATAAAAAACACAATCTTTGTGCATTTTAACGCGTAAAAGATTATTAAATTTTTTGAGGGTTGATGTCATCAATTAATTCATAATTTTCTATTTTATTTTGATGTCTATGAGGATGGATCTTATGACAATTGATGGCTTTGTTATTTTTTATTACATTTATGGGTCAGGTTTATTGGTGCAAGCTGTTTCCATTTTACACTTTAGGATTTCATAGTACAGTTCGTTTTCCCTTTATTTCTTTTCCTCAAATTGTTGTCGTCTATCTATATTCTTTCATCTAAATTGTTTTGTGATTTGTTTTGCACTCATTAATGAGTGCTACATCATTACATATAGATTCCTATTTTTGCAGTGGGAATTTTAATCACCATTGAATTTCTACTCAGATATTTTGTAGAATCTTTGATTTTGTCAACTTTTATATTCTCATTTGAAACAAAATAAGTGTGCTTTTTAATTTTGCATCAAAAATTCTATTTTGTACCTAAAGGTTGGAAACTAAAATTTTTTATCGCTTGTGGGTTTTTTTAATTTATTTCATCCAAATTTGTATGAGTGAACTCTAAGTCATATGATGTTCTATATCACCTGATCCAATCATGCCTTTGCCCCTTCCCTTACAAACTTTTAGACAATTTTATAATTGAGTCTGTTAGGGTGATGGTGTGGATGAATGAACGAGTACCGACTTGCTAAATGTTATTCCAACTATAAAGTTTCTAGGAATTTACATTTCTCTAGTTTAAAAAGCTATATACCAAAGTTTAGCTATTTGAAAATTCAATTTAAAGATATGAACTATTAAAAAGGAACTGCATGGCTGGAGGTAATTTTAGCAGAACGGACCTAAGTCACCATTTCTCTGACTCAAAGACCTAGTGGAGTACTAGAAATTCTATTGACTACGATACGTCTTGACACTACTTGTTACTTATTTTGCATGTTTTTTGAATATTTTTTTAATGTTTTGCAATGGGTGAGTATTATTTTAGACAATACAATACATTTTCTGTAGTCATGCGATTTATAAATTTGCGCTTTTATTTGAACAATAATATTTCAAACTGCAGGAGGAATGACAGAGGAGAAAAGATTGATTAGACGGAAAACCCTGGCAAAGTGGTTAAAGGAAAGTATTTTGAGATTAGGGCCCACATTTATCAAAATTGGGCAGCAGTTTTCTACAAGGGTGGACATTCTTCCGCAAGAATATGTTGATCAGTTGTCCGAACTTCAGGTCTAGATGCATGCTGATAAGATGATTCATGTACTGATTACATATAATATGGATCTGTCCTAGAGTGCTTATGATAAAAATATTCATTATTTTTTAGTAATATGATGTAAAACCATTTTCACCTTGGCATCAAGATGAATTTTAGATAATTGAATTACAGCCTATTTTGTTTGCTAGTTTTTTTTTCTTAAGACTTTTGATGCTATGCTTCATCTATAACACGACCATAATAAGGGTTAACTTTTTCATTTCTATTATATGCATATCATGAAAATGCACGTTGTAAGGTTATTTATTCTGATTCACATAAAGTTGATTTTTGTTTAGTTAAAGGTTTAATATAGTTCTTAGTTGAGCCTTTGCTACTAAAAATGAGCTATATGCAAGTAAAGGATTTTTAGTATCACTAAAAAATTTTTTTTGAGAAAATTTTAAATTTATTTCTCTTTCCATCTATTTTTTTAATTCTTGAGATTGGGGTAGCTTTGTAGCTATAGGATTGATATCATCTTTTATTGCAACTAAAGAACTACCTAAAGTTCTTAGGAAAAATAAAGAAACAAATGAAGGTGAAGAGATTTATATTCAAAACATGAAAACTATCCTTTTTAGGTGGATATTTTATATTCTTCCAATTTTGGAAGGGAAAGGGGCGAATGTCCACACTTCTCTAGTATGGTTGTATATGTCAATCATTTTCAATTTGGACTTTCACAGATAACATGTGACAACAACTTCATAAGAATCTCTGCTGCTTGAAGATTTTTAAGCATGTATACAAGACCCATAAGTTTTTTTTTAGGTTTTCTTTGATGAATCAATTTTTGCACCCTTTTTTTTGTCATTATGAACATGATTCTTCAAAATGCTTAAGGTTTGAGATCACAAAACATCATTGATTTTTTAACTGACAGCTTATTTACCCACATACCGTCATATGTATTGTGGGCCATAATTCTAAATTGAACTTTTGGCCACTATGGATTGTTTCTTGCTTCGACAAGTAACCAAGTTCCCTCACACATAAGTGCGATACCTTATAATTTATTTATCCTAATCAGCATAAATAAATTTCTTCAATATCTTTAATTGAAATTGTCTTAAATTACAATCCTTTTCTAGCATTCCTTCTTAGGTATTGCGGATTTTGACATAAAACCCCCAAATATTCTTCCACGGGACTATCCATTAAATGGCTCATTGTGTTCTTGTAAAGAAGTCATTACTAGTCATGCGTGAGAGAGGTAAATGAGCTTCCCAACTAGCCTATGATATCCATCTTTTAACATAAGGTGGTTTCTTTTGCCAATTCTTTTTTTTTTTTTTTTGTTTTCTTTGGGGGGGGGGATGGTTTAAAGCACTTTGGTTCGTTTAGTAGATCTTGAATAAATTCTCATTAGTTAATGGAAATACCATTCATATAATGAGCCACTTCCATGCCAAGAAAGTATTTGAGACAACCTATGTAGCAAGAAGGTCTTCAGTTTATTCATCTATTTATTCATCTATTTCTGATCATCTCTACTGGGAACAATATCATCTACATATATGATGAGAATGATCATTTTTTATTCTAGATAGAATTTGACGAATATGATGTTATTTGACAGGCACCGAGCAAGCTTACATGCCTTTACCACTGTTTGTAAATCTGCGAAACCATTTATGTGGAGATTGCTTTAGACACAATGAATTTTGGAGTTGCAAACTTTGTTAGTATTTTTTTGAGTAAAAACATGGAGGAATATATATTTAGATTTCTTTCTCCAAGTAACCATTTAGCAATGTGTTCTCGACATACATTGATGAAAGGAACAATGTAATTTGTTGCTACTGCTAGGGAAACTTCGATTGCATTGAGTTTGGCTTCTAGGGAGAATATCTCTTCATAATCAATTCTATAGAATTGAACCAATCCCTTTTGTAATTAGTTGACTCTTAAATCTATCCTAATTGCTACATGCATTGTATTTGATAGTGAAACTCCACTTGCATCCAACTAGTTTTTTCCTATTTGTTAGATTTGAAATTCCAGAGTTTCACTTTTTTTCTCTAGTGCCTAGATTTCTTCCATTATAACAATCTTTCATTCATTTGGCGGAGAGTTTTTTGCATGTTATTGAAATTTATAAAATTGTCAGAATGGTGATAAATGCCCAAATGATGAGGGACAATCTTTCATATGAAACTAAGTTGTAGATCAAATATTGAGTATGAGATCTCACACTTTTGATAAGGACAATAGGGAGATAAAGATCATTAGCAGGCATAATAAATCAGATTCAATCAGATATTGCTTTGGCAAGTTTCAGGAATCGATTTAGATTCATGGCTTTGCTTGAGTGGCATTGATTGATCTACATTTTTTTGAATGTTGTCAAGTGGTTTGCATTCTCTGAGTTTTCATTTCCTTGAATAGACAATCACTTCCTGATTTATTCTTTGTGTAGTTCTCGGATTTTGAGAGTTTGTATGAGTTTGGGGTTGAGGTGGTTCAATGTTAAAGTGTGGTTGAAGCTGTGGCCGAATGAGGTTGCTTGACATTCCAAGTCTCCCAAAGCTAATATTCTTGTGCGATAGGATTCTCCCCTGAATTGAAAGTTTGTGATGGCAGGGCTGATTGTTAAAGGATGCCATATCCATGGAGTTATAATTTTTTGTTATTGATGAAGAATCTTTGTAACCTTTCCAATTTGGAGTTTACCCAAGAAATATGCATTTGAGAGATTTTGGTTAAGTTTGTTTTAAGATTGTTGATTTATGTGAGCATTGAGTGCAATTGAATACATTAATGGGAATGGTGGAGACAATTTAGATGTTTGGAAATGAGGCAAGGAGTGTTTGGCATGGGGTGTTGAATTTCATGACTCAGGTGGCATTCTATTGATGAGTTTTGTCGTTGAACCCTGGGATGTTTTAGAATGTGAGAAGTAAACATAAAGTCTCTAACTTCTAATACATGTTGATTTTTTTACTAAAAAATTCCATTATTTTAGGATGTTTCAACACATGAACTTTGATGCGCTATTTTTAGCTTGAAGGATAAGATCATAAGAACCAATAATTGAGTGGTAGTATTCTCTCTTATTATCTGTTTTGAAGAATTGTGTTTTATTGGAATTAAGTTTGAATCATATTGAAATTTTGGAATAAGTTTTTTCTCTTAAAGTAGTCGGGTGAAAAAAAAAATAACGTATTTGAGCCATGAGGTGATAAATGATAAAACATGTTTCAACTCTTTTTTTTTGACAACTATGAAGTTTTAAGTAAAGCATAATTATCTGCCATGCCTATTTTGTATCCGCAACTTATTTTTTATGTTGTGGTTTTGCAATGGACTTATTAGATTTATCATCTAAGTTGCACCATTTTTTTAGCCAAAAGCATGTTTTACTTCTTTTTTTTTAATATGCTCGAGTAACAAGGACTATCTAAAGTATTATCTTTAGTAACACGAAAGTAATGGTCCCTCAAGGACTAAGGGTCTGTTTGGGGCAGTTGTTGCTGTTTGAAGAAGTTGTTATTCAAAAAATTGCAGTGACAAAATTATTTTTTCAAAAGTCAGACCATAATTTTTTAACAACCATCACATTTAGTAAAGTTTTGCTGCAAAACGTAGCTTTCAGCTGCAGTTTTTTTAAAAACTAGGTAAAACATAGTTTTGTCAAATAGGAAAATGCGGTGCGGCACGTACCGCCACCCCAAATGCACCCTAAGTTTGGATCAATTTTGCATATTTGAGATATTGAAATGAGATAAAAGGCTTCTTGTTGCTATTGTTGTTGTTGAGATACTGTAATGTAGGGGTGTAAACAAATCGAACACGAGCTAAGCCCAGTCGGCTCATTTATATTTCAAACTCAAAAAGTGTGTTGGTGTTCATCTCGTTTGCTTAACCAACCGAGCACGACCCGTTCACGAACAAATAGTCATTTTGACAAAACCCTAATCACGTAGCATAAGATGTTAATGATTGAGATAAAATTTTAAACATCACTTGAATCTAATTTAATATTTTTTATTCTATTTTCTTCGTTAATACTTTTAATTGATTATAAATCTTTGTAACCTTGTAGTTAATTAAATTTTTTAAAAATACTACTCGATCAAATATAAATATATATATATATATATAGTGTTCGGTTCGTTAACTTAACGAACGAGCCGAACACGAGATTCTTAACAAGCCGAACACGAGTTGTTCGCGAACAACGAGCCGATTTGATAGCCCTACTGAAATGAGAACAATTCTGTATAAGAGTGTTTACCCGTGGGACAATTGTTGATCATTTTGTGAAGTCGAGAGATTGAATTGGAGAAATGTTAAACTTTGGATTAAATTGATCACTCATGAATTATTAATAGATTATTTTGGAGTTTAACTCGTCAAACATTTGTTATATTTGAAAAACTATGACTTGCCTTTAGGTCCCTCACCCACCATTCTTAGCTTTTGGTTTGAATATGGTATTGATCATTGGTGTATTCAACCCAATTTTGCTCTCCGTTTTGTCTATCCTTTTTAACAAGTGATATTAGAGCCAATGATTTTGCTAGGATCTTGGTTCCCATGGTTGAGCAAAGTTCGTGTTTGAACAACTCTATCAGCTATCATATGAATGAGTGGGCTTTCAATGATATCGGAGGGAGCCCAAACCACCACGAAAAACACAATTATTATTACTAAATTCAAAATGTTACAAACAAGACTCTCGTGAAGATGAAATAAACGACAATAAACATAAAATACACCCTAGGGCCATGGCATGGGGGGTGGGTGGCGGCTGGCCAGCGGGATGAAGACGGGTTTGGTGAAGGCAACAACAGTAGGATGGGTGGAAGGGAATCATCATTGATTGGATTTGGTGGAGTGGGCTGCTACAAATGTTGGAGGGGTGGGGACGAGCTGCTGCAGCGGCTGGGGGGGGTGGAGGGTGGCGACGCTGGGATTGGGTGTATTGGG